TATTTATTTCCATAAAGTATTAATATTTTAATTGGCAAAAAAAGGTATTAATATTTTAAGCAAACCTTAACACTGCTCAAAGTAGATTATATATGATAGTATTAATGTTGATACATAAATAATAAAAATATTTATTTTTTTAGGTGGAATTAATTAATTAATGAAAAAAAGAGGGTTTTTAAGACATATAAGGCTAGATGCAGTTAATGTTTGAAGATGGATAGACTAGAGTCATCAAGTAAGACTTAAAATAGTTTTTGACCAAATTAAGATGTTCAAATTTAAGAATATTGGTTGAATGATTATTTGACCTTGAATTGGTGAAGTGGAGTTATATTCACATTAATTTTTGTAGTGATTTTCTTCTCTAAATTTGAGTTTCAATATTTTCACTATGTGCAATAATTGTGATGCATGAACTTGATACTTACATCATAGTTTCAAGTTTCGGTTTCGGTTTCCGTGTGGTTTGGTTTCGGGGTAAAGATATCATGTCTAAGACGTAAAGAAAAAAAAAAACAGTATTCATATAATGGCTACGCAAGCTGGAAATCGAACGTATCAGGATGGAAAACAAAATTTCAGATATTTTATTTGGAAATTGGATATTGTTATTTTGTTTTGAAGAAAATTATTATTCATATACTCCAATATAAAATAACCTAAAGATATAAAATATCTATGATACGTTATATATAACTTATGTATAACTTACACAAATTAATTTTACAATATATCTTATAAGTTATAAATATGTTATACTAATAATTAAATATTTTCTAAAGTGGAAAACTAATTATAAATATGTTAGAAAAAAAAATCCAATTTTGGAATTTCAAAAATTGAAGTGAAAAAAACTTGTTACAAAATTGAAAATTTTCAAATTAAGTCGATGAAACTAAAAATATTCCAATTTCAAATCGCCTAAAAAATAAAATACATAATAATATTAGTATTATAAGTGTAATAATCGTGCTACCCAAACCTCGCTTCCTTAGCTCCTCGGTCTACCCAACTCTAATTAATTATTTCGAATCAAAATAATATTAATTATGTAGTTCTACCATGTAATTAAATATTTGAATCTTGTTGATTAGTATAATAAATAATCATATCAATTTTGGTAACTATATGATTTCTCTCTCCAATTATATATTTCTAAACTAATTCATAATTTATACGTGTAAACAGATTACCAACTCTAGTGACGAACTTCGTTGGATGTATGTATTATACAACAAATATTGAATGTATAAGCAAACTAAATTAATAAATTAATTTCTATATTTTTACCCTAAATAGAAAATGAGAGTGACACTAGAAATACAAAAGTAGCATAGTAGGTATGATTTGCAAGTACAAATTAAGAAACTACGTATAAATTATAAAATAAGATAAATTACGGTGAGCCCCTGATGTAATATCAAATAACGAAAACCTCCCTCTTGTTTGTTTAATTACAACCACCACTTAATTATAATATTTTTTTCACGTATACTCTTGTGGTTCTAAATTTAGGAGAATCTTCTAGATTATGTGAAATATTATCCAGTCTATACCTGGTTTACTCCATTCGAACTTCACAATTTGAAACAAGATGATCATAAGATGCGTCTCTTGACTTGTAAATATCAGATTGTCATGCATCAGAAACTATTTTGCACAAAAAGAGTACAAACTAGAGAACGTTTCAAAAAACCTAGAAGATTCTGTTGAATTTACACCATATGTATGAACGTGTAAGAATATTCATAGTTGAGGGGATGATTGTAATTACTAGGGATGAAAATCTGAATGAATATTCCAATTTCCGTTGAATCCAATCTGAATTTTTCCGATTTTGGAACGATTTTTTGTAGTTCGAATTCCGAAATTCCGATTTTTTACGAAAAAATCGAATCGGAATCGGAATTGTAATTATTCAGAATATCCGAATTCTGATCTGAAAATAATTCCGAAATTTCAGATAATATTTCTGAAATTTCCGAAATTTTTTGACATGAGAACTATTTTCGTAATTTGACCCCTCGTGGGGTAGCCTTAATTTATCCTATAAAATATGTGGATCACTTATATATATATAATATAAATATAAGAGGTATATAACAAATAAAAAATAAAATAAGTAAGGAAAACCATGCACCAATAATTCAAAGAGCATCAAACGTTTGAAAGTCAACCATAGAAAATTATTAAGTGGACGGTACTCTTCATTTTTATGCTATTTAATTTAATTTAATTTATTTATAATCAAAGCCGCAATTCACCTCACTAAAATAATAACTACTTCCCCTAACCGACCACTAATTAGTTTGTCATATTTCAGATTTTATTTTTTTATTTATTTTATTTCTTTTCAAGTTTGACTTTATTTTGGTCAAATGTTGCCAAACATATGGAGTTTAAGAATATTGCTCCTATAGGACCTATACTCGGTGCAATGTGACATATAGTAGGAAATATATGTATGAGTTTCTATTACCCTATTTAATTCAATATTTTTTAGGTTTTGTCTAACTAAATTTCGAAAATGGACGAATTTTCCCTCGGCTCGTTATATCTCCGTATAAATTTTGATATGAGTAGATTTTGTGTAACGAGCTCGATCTGGAAATTATTGATGACGTCGATCGAACTCGAGTTACCAGACACCGCAGTCTCCTTACTTCACTAATTAGACCATTTTTACCGACAATTATTAAGACCGATTATAATAAGTTTCAATAATTGTTGTGACATTATATTTTATTTCATGTTAACTTTCACGTGTAGACAAAAATTTCATGTCGCGAAGTCTTTTTCTCATATATTTTATTCATCTTAAGTTCCCTCAACATGTTTTTTAATTAATAGAACTCTATAATTCATTGTTTTTATGCACTTTTATTATTAAGATTTTGTACGTTGTTGTAATAATAAAGAAAGCAATAGAGTTCACAATAACAAATTGCATTAAAAAAACACATTTAAAAATAAAGATTATTTTCTATTAGAAATTGCTGATTTGAGAAAAAAAATGTAATTAATTATCCTTCTGTTCAATATATAACAATTATTTATATTTTTTTTGTGTAATTTTTTCAAGCATACATTAGATTTAAAATAACAATATGACGCTGCAAATTCATAATTATTTTTTACAAGCCCCCGCGGGCGCAAATATTATTTCAAACGATGTCATTTATTTTTTCACATCCACAAATAAAAAAAAAAAAAAAAAAACGAACTATGGTTTACAAAATTCGTAATATAACTGAAGATTAGTTAATTAAAAGATCATTACCAACCCTCCTTAGGAGAGTTGGTACCTAGCCTTTACCAATAGGGTAAAGGTCTAGGGTTCGAGTCCCCCCCTCCCCTACTTCCCCTTGTAATGGACTTGAATTTACTCAAAAAAAAAAAAAAATAAAAAATTTAAAGATCATTACACAGACCTGATTCGTTAACTCAGCTCTTGTTTTTTCGAGTTGAATTAGCAAATTGTATTTTTTTTTAATGTAAAAAGAAATTTTAATCTAATTTTGTATGTAACGAGGAATTCTAACCTTTCCCTTTTGACTTTTTTTTTATTGAATTAAAAAAAAATAATTAAAACTATAGCATCATTGAAAATTACCCACAGCAAATTGTAAATTTTTTTTAATGTAAAAAGAAATTTTAATCTAATTATGTATGTAATGGAGGAATTCTAACCTTTCCCTTTTGACTTTTTTTTTTATTGAATTAAAAAAAATAATTAAAACTATAGCATCATTGAAAAATACCCACTTAAAAGTCAACCCGGTCTATTATATAAAGAACTACTACTATATATATATAAGTTATGTATTACATGTGACCGCGTCTATATTTTGAATTCACTCCTTCTCCTGCCACGTCATCACCATCCTCGTTACCCCTTTTCAAAATCACTCTCCACGTACTCTCTCTCTCTCTCTCTCTCTCTCTCTCTCTCTCTCTCTCTCTCTCTCTCTCTCTCTCTCTCTCTCTCTCTCTCTCTCTCTCTCTCTCTCTCTCTCTCTCTCTCTCTCTCTCTCTCTCTCTCTCTCTCTCTCTCTCTCTCTCTCTCTGCTCTCTCTCTCTCTCTCTCTCTCTCTCTCTCTCTCTCTCTCTCTCTCTCTCTCTCTCTCTCTCTCTCTCTCTCTCTCTCTCTCTCTCTCTCTCTCTCGCTCTCTCTCTCTCTCTCTCTCTCTAATATATATATATATAGAATCTCCATAACCTATTTTCATCAACAATCTCAAGAAGCAATTCTGATTTCATGGCTTCCTCAGTTTTTTCTTGCATGCAAAATCCAATCAAGAATTCTGCTGCAGCATTTACAGCAGAACCTATTTCTGTAAGGAATAATAAATTAGAATTTCCTTCCATGAAACAAACTCTTTCATCCAACAACTTGATCTCCACTCATACTAACTACCTCCAACCTAGTATCAACAACACCGATTATTCACCGACCAAATCCAGTTCATCGACGATCGGGAGACAGCTGTCAACTTCTTGGAGGGAGATTCAAGGTTCGAACAACTGGCGAAACCTTGTGGGCCCCACATTGGACCCGCTTCTCCGGCAAGAGATCGTCCGGTACGGCGAATTCGTCGCCGCATGCTACAAGGCGTTCGACCTCGACCCGTCGTCAAGACGGTACTTGAGCTGCAAATACGGTAAAGGATCCATTTTCGAACGGGTCGGGTTGGAGGATCATCACTCGGGCTACGAGGTCACTAAATACGTATACGCCACCGCCCCGGGTATCCATTTTCCGACACAACCCGAAACCCATACCCGAAACCCTAATAAATCAAGATGGGTTGGGTACGTAGCTGCATCGTCCGATAACCGAGTCAACTCGCTCGGCCGACGAGATATAGTGATCGCATTCCGTGGGACAGTCACTAGCTCCGAATGGATCGCAAACCTAATGAGCTCGTTAAAACCCGCCCATTTCGACCCGCATGACCCGCGGGCCGACGTCAGGGTCGAAGCAGGGTTTTTGAGCTTGTACACTTCGGACGAAAGTGGGAGCAAATTCGGGCTCGGAAGCTTGCGAGAGCAACTCCTTTCGGAAGTTTCTAGGTTAGTAGAGAAGTACAAAGGCGAAGAAATAAGCATTACTATTGCGGGTCATAGCATGGGGAGCTCGTTGGCTTTGTTGCTTGCGTACGATATCGCGGAGCTAGGGTTGAACGTAACTAGACCTAATAAAGAATATTCCGGCAAGGGGAATATTCCGGTGACGGTTTTTTCGTTTGGAGGGCCGAGAGTTGGGAACTCGGGCTTCAAAGAGAGGTGTGAGGAATTAGGGATCAAAGTTCTTAGAGTGGTAAATGTGAATGATCCAATTACGAATTTGCCCGGATTTGTATTTAATGAGAATCTTTTCAAGGGTTTTAGTGGTGGGGGTTACGAGTTTCCGAATTGGAGGTGTTCTTGTTATACCCATGTGGGTGTCGAATTGGTGCTCGATTTTTTCAAGATGGAAAACCCTTCTTGTGTGCATGACTTGGAGAACTACATCATTGGATTGCTCAAATCATGTCCTAATTATAAGAGTTCTTGTAATAATAATTCGAAGAGCGATCGAGATCAAGATCATGATTACGAATGGAGGAATTTGATGGAGAGGGCAAAGGGGTTTTTATCCGTTGGAGCGCAAAGATTCGACGGTTTGCAATGGAGAATAAATGCAGCCATGGATGTGTTCAATTTGGTTCAGTCCCAATGGACATGATTGAAGCAGACACACACAACACACACTAACACACACCTAAGTTATAGGGAATTAAGGAACTCACATTTATCTTTGATTTACCTAGCTAGAAAATAGATATATATATAGAGAGGTTTTTGTGCCATGTAATTAATAAGGGGTTATGAAAATGATGTGTATGTTATGTACATGTAATATATATTGAGTACATTAGTTTGATCATAATTACTTTTTGATCTTGTCACATTGTCATCTAAGAAAAATCAAAGTTTCATTCAGCTATGCTGCGATTTTCGCTCTACGCTACCGCAAAGTTCTAACGGTGGAAGAGTTGTAACTGATTCATTACCGATTCGGAATCGAACAGTTATACTTACTGATCTTTTGTTGAAGAAACGTAATTTGAGCACGATCCGGTCCGGTACGACATCCAGATAGGGCTTTTGAAATCCTGCACTAGTGAAGTTTACCAAGTTATAATCTATTACCGTAGATATACACACACTCACATGCGCGCAACACGCGCACACACACTTTAATGGCATTTGTTGAATAAAAAAATTATTGTTTTATTCTCGGTAAAATTAAATGGCATTTATTATGGGCACTTGATTGACTAAATAAAATTCTACAAATCATCCACAATATTCTTGTTTAAGTTCAATTAATCCCTTTGAGGTTAATTGACCTAATTTCTTTAATTAGGGATGTTTTCTCTTTCAAATTCGAAGTTTTACATGAATGGTCATTGCATTAACTAAGTTCAAATTAGGGCTAACCCCTTAGGTAAGGTCAAATTACAAAAAGACCTCCTTATATTTCGATAATTAATTACAACTACCTGTTAATTATGTATTTTTTTACGAAAACCCCCCTCCTTTTATAAGTAAATCTAACACTGTAAGGATGAACTTATAAGACAATACATAGTTGATGGATGATTGTAATTACCCAAAACACAAGGGTTTTTTTTCGTAATTTGACATTAACTTAGGGGGTTGACCGTAATTTGCCCTAAATTAATTAACGAAGGTTGAATTAAAATATGATAACGTCATACTATTCATCTTCTATCAACTTGATAATATTTGTTGATAATTACGTTGCTAATATATATACACACACTCATACATGACAAATTGTGTTTTTTAGGCATAATCCCATGTTAATATATATATAGCAGCCTCGCAAGCAAGATATTTCAATCAATCAAGTCAAACGAACCGACATCCCTTTATCTAATTGACTTTCTTTTCTTTTTTTTTTTTTTATGATTTTTTTTTTCTTTTTTGCTTTTTGGCCCCCAAGTGGTTTTGCTTGTTCACAAATAACCTTTTTTGTTTTCTTTTATCAACTTTCGTTTTGTCCTTCATATTTTTGTGGCAACTTGATTAATTGATAACATTGAATATGATGTAAAATTTTAATAATTAAGGATAGGAGACATTTATTATAAATTACAACTACTTCAATTCAACTTGTCCAATTATAACAAACAATTTGCTTTTCCCTTGTAAGTTTATCTTTATATCATGGTTGCATATTAATGAGAAACTAAAGGAAATATAAGTATCTCTAATTCTTTTGAGGCTTATAGTTAGAATAGGCGACTAACAAGCCAATTTGTAGCTGTTGTGGTCTTTTTTTTTTATAGCTAGTTGCAATAACAATTTATTTATAATGAATGAAAGTTTATTTTGGCAAGTTATATCCATTGTCCAAATAATTTATACATAGATATAGAACACTATAGTCATATCAAATTTCTATGAATTGATCGTCATGAGATAATTCATTAAGTATAGTGGATTTTCTTGTCGATAGGTTAATGCAATAATTAAAATAGTGGTTTTTCCCGTTTGATACTAGCACTTAGTGTATGCGAGTTGAGTCTCATCAACTACAATATAAAGACATAGGCATACATGAGTGGGTGCCCATAGTCACCCGTTGGATGGATTAAAATCAACTCAGACTGCTGCTTTGTTGACGGTGCTGCCTCAACTGCCTTCTTGATCCGTAACCACAATGTCTCTATTGTCTCTATGCATACTCAAAGAATTACATTTGCCACGATCGCCTTGTTGCTGAAGCTTTGGCAGTTATAGATGCATGCATGTTCATCAATGAGGCATAACTCAAAAAATGTCATCTTTGAAGCGGATTGCCTTAATGCGATCAAATTCATTATCGCTGAATCAGTCTCCCCTCACTGGTCTACTCTGGTCATTATTGATGAATTGAGAAAGTTTTGATCCACTTGGCCAAAATGGAAGTTCAAGTTTTGTTCGAGAAGTTCAAATTTTGCCGCTCACAATCTTGTCAAGTGGGCGTTCTCGTGCAAATGGAACGGTTTTATTCATGCTAATTATTGCCTATTAGTTGTTTTTTTGTGATGGGGGTCACCCCCTTGGACACTTTTTAATATGGGCCAAATTAAAACTCATCTGTTGGGCTGGGCCTACCTTCTTCTTTCTCAAACCCCATACTTCTTCTCCACAACTTTATAACAAATTTGTCAAAAGTGATCGGTTATATATGCAAGTAATTAATACAACCCATCAAGATTTTTGTACATGAATACAATTTTTTTTTTACATGGAAAATAACGATCTAGCATCTACATTAAATCGACTCTACTAGTACATATATCGATTTGTTTCTCTTCATAACAAAAAAGTAAAAGAAAAAATAACAATTCATCAAATCACACGAAAATATAAAGGGTAAATTACAATCACCTCCCCGAGGTAAAGTCTATGTACGAAAAAACCACCCTCATTTTCGTGAAATGCATCCAGTCCTCTGCATTTTGTAACTGTCTTACATTCAACCTCTACTAATTGCAGGGGTGGATGTAATTATGGAACATTGAGGGGTTTTTTTCGCTAATAGGACTTACCTCAGGGGTGGTTGTAATTTATCCAAAATATAAAAGAACAAAACTATTGAATTCCCAATTAAGTGAAGTTAGAGAGAGAGAGGGCTATTTAATTCCAAGAGGAGCATGGTGAGATTGAGCTGACATAGCAAGTTCAAATTGGTGCAAAGAAATTGAAGGAAATTGGAGTAATTCATTATTGGAATTACTATCCCAATTTGAATTTATTGGATTAGTATTGTTAATTGTGGTTGATCCATCCAATCCTATGTGTGTCACGTGCTTCACATCAGTTGGAAACCCTATTTCCATCTCTCTTTCCATTTTCTCTCCCATCTCTTCTTTGTACACTGAAAATTAAAAAAAAAAAAAAACCTAATATTTTTTTGTAATCAAGTTGAATTTAACAGCTATGTGTATAAAGAAGAAAAAAAAAATTAAATTTGTATTTATATATATAAATAGATGAAACTTACGAAAGAAGTGAGAAAAACTTTTGAAGCGCCGGATTAATCTAAGTAACCCTTGGGAGAACGATGCTTTCGAAAGATCCCGATTCTTCGTTTTCGAGTTCTTTTCACCACCCTTTACCGCTTTAAATTAACAAAATGTATAACAATTTAATAAATCAATCAAATAAGAGAGAGAGAGAGAGAGAGAGAGAGAGAGAGAGAGAGAGAGAGAGAGAGAGAGAGAGAGAGAGAGAGAGAGAGAGAGTATTGTTACTTGTTCTTTTAGGGGAGGGGGTGAGGGTGGTGGCGGCGAGGGCAACACTTGAATCGGAATCACAGCCGATGGAAAACGGAAGAAGCAAAAACCTTTCGATACGCTCTCCTCTCATCATCGTATAATATCTCAATATGAAATATCAATGATCAATGAAATTTGTTAATAACATGCAAATTAAACTATTTACGAAAAAACTGCGAGGATTAATAGCTGATGTATCGAACTCTGTGATTGGCTGGCTTCATCAGCAAGCTAGAATGAATGATTTAATTTGTAGAAACATAAATCATACCTAACATATGAATTATGAATTAACAAGTTGGAGTGGGTTACGTTAGAGGGGAGTTGTTAGCGAGAGTTAAACTGTACAGCTCAAACCTGCTGTTTGTTCAATTACTTCAATAATCTAATTAATAATCATTATATTTGAGTCCACATTAACCAACTTTTTGTTCATTAATTTAATTTGTTAACTAATTAATTAGTGGTTCCTAATTAAATAGTATCATTTAATTTGTTTTTTATATCAAACATAATGTGGGCTCCTACATTAGGTCGTTATCCATAGTTTAATTCTCTCGGAAGCTAAGCCCACCATTTTCAATAATTATTCTCTAATTAATTCTTTTTAGGTATTCTTTTTAACTTCATTTTTTATTTGAAATTTATAAAGATTGCTTCTTTTTTCAATTTTTTTTATCAAGTTGGGAGATTTTTTTATCAAATTCATTCTATTCTACTATGGAATAAACCTATATATGTGAAATGGAGATATGCAAACTTTTTTTGATATGGAGATATGCAAACTCTAGTATGTATATATAGTTCCAACATATGGAACTGTGATCGATGAAACAACGACTCATTTTTACAATGTCACTTTCTCGTACGTCCAAAAATCCACCGGCGGTGGCACTAACAACCCAGCATACAAAGCACCAAGTACCGGAGCCTTAGATCGGAGCATAACCACTGCCTTAGTCGGAGCCAGGGGTGGGCATTCGGGTCGGGTCGGGTTATTCGGGTTATTCGGGTCGGGTTATTCGGGTTTTTTGCAAAAAAAATATTACCCGAACCCGACCCGAGATAACCGGGTACCCGGCAACCGGGTACCCGGTTATTTCGGGTCGGGTTCGGGTCGGGTTCGGGTTTTGCTATTCTTTTTTTTTTTTTTTTTCATTTTTGAAAAATAAATAGTAACTAAATTTACTTAAGATATATATATATATATATATATATATATATATATATATATATATATATATATATATATATATATATACATACAGACATACATATATATATATACAGAGATACAGACTATACATATATATAGACATATACATACATATACTGCATTACATATACATATACTGATATATATATATATATATATATATATATATATATATATATATATATATATATATATATATATATATATATATATATATATATATGCGTGTATCCGAGCGGGCACCCGGGTGTATTTCTAACCCCCGGACCCGACCC